TTCTACTGCAGCACACCAAGCTCTTGGGGAGCAATTCCCCATCCTACCCAGTTCTTATAAGAAGTCCTCCCTGTCTTCACATTCTGGTCAGAGGGCTTCTACTGCAGGCCCTCTGAGTCGGGTTGCGGCTGTTTGGTCCAGCTACGCTTCCTACTCCTACGGCACCTCCTTTCCCTGCAGCAGTCAGCCCTGACTGAGAAGCTCCAGAGGCTTTTATAGCCAGCCTCCAGTTGGAGCATGCCCAGCAGGATTGTGGGGGTGGGGCCCTCTCAGCCAGCTGGGTCAAGTTAACTCCTTCAGCACCAGTGCAGGGTTGATACACCCACTCACAATTATATACTGAAAATGGACCCAAGTCAAACGCCCAACTGGAACGCCCCTGAACTTAGGGAAAATTCAAATATAAAGCCAAACCTTGGTGGCTTGGGTCCATCTCTGTTGCAAACATAACCAGGATCCGCAGGAAATCAGCAAAAAAATCCATGATTTCCCTTGAAAATACAGTTTATGGGGAGAATTGAATTAAATTAATGTCATGTTCTTTAAAAGTGGTGACGCTAATTGGCTCTCTTATTACTAAGGCCCAGCAGAGGCAGCAAGGGCTACATGAGCATGAAGGCTGAACTACCTACTCCTCCCTATATGAAAGGTTTGATTTGATGGCAAGGATGGTGGGTGAGACAGTGGAGGGAAGCTTACACGCGCATGGCTGCTAGGGCATACGTTCAGTGGAATTCACATTTAGAAACAGCAGGATTGAGATGGGCTAGGGTCACAGCTAATGAGGCCACCTATGCTCAAGCTGTGGCCACTGGCTTGGAAACATGATCAGGCCCCAAATCCCCATCTGGCAGCATGCTAACAGGGTAGACAGACTGTCCCTTTTTGCAGCAGAGGTAGGGTGCACTGCACCTGAAAGGGCTTTGGGGGAAGGAGATGAGGGTCTTCTTTGGCAAGATTTGGGGCTGAGCAGCTTTTCGGAAGATTTGTCATTTTTACTGACTGCAAGCTGAGGTAAATGGTTTATTCCACTTGATTATTTTAAGGCTGGTAGCTAGTGAAATTCATTTGTTTGACTATTGGTGCTAAAGCTGCTGGGTGGTTATTGGAAGTTTAATTGCTGTCAAGGCGCTCAAAGCATTTACAAGCTCTTTGTTCATTAATGTCAAATCTAAAGGAATATAATAAAATAGATACTCTACTCTGAGGCAGCTGGTGGGTGTTTATGCCCCATCCCTGCCAGAACAACAGCCTCACTTCCTCATCCCCACCCTGGCTGATGAGAGAGTTCTGTTCTCTAAATGAAATCAGTGCTTTTGGGTTGTGCATCATCCTTCCTCGCCCACTCTCAGCCCACTTGGCTGGGATTACCTTGTTAACTGTACCCAGTAGAATTCCCTAAGCCATTTGCAAAATTCCAAATACACTACTTGAAGATGATAAATTCCCATTCAGTAGCCCTAATCAAGGGATACATTTACAATGTACTTATTCCCCTATCACATCATGCAACACGACCCACTAGGGGAGGGGAACCCAACAACTTGTTACTTGCTCTACAATACGGATAAAATATAAGCTTGCAAGATCTACATATACTTACATAAACCGTCCATACTATGCAATCAAAACGTTGTATAACAACAAACAGAGCAATCCTACCAATTCTCTCCATTAAAATATCTTCCTGTTCCACCAACACATCATACTATGGGAAAACCGACAGGATTCTGACATAATTCAGTGACTCCTGACACTATAATCCTTTCATAATTTTCACTTCATACTGAATGAAAAAATGAAATCAAAATTATTCATCCAACACTACGGTTCCATCGCAGAACCAAAAAAGATGCAATATGCAATGTATATTTGATGTAGAGACGTAAAATCTCATTTAATTGGTTAGCCAGTTAAATGTAATGTTTAACTAGTTAACCGATTAAGTGGTGGGGCTGACCAGGAAAGGGGGCACATCAGCCCATCTGGGGGGGAGTGGCCTCCTCCCCTGCCACTGCCGGGCTGGAGCGACACCCCAATTTTATCCAGAGCAACCCCTGTCCATGGTGGGACCGGATGTACCACTGGCAGGGACTGCTCTGGCCATTTGGATGGCTGGAGTGCCTGTTCCCTCAGCGCACATGGGCTCACCGCAGACAGGAGCTGCTTCTGCATGGCCAGAGCAGCCCCTGTCCACAGTGGGTCCTGCAGAGCTGGAGCAGCCCCTGCCCACAGCAGGCGAGGAGCTGCTCCAGCCCCTACTGGTTAACTGGACCTAGTAAGCCTTACCCATTAACTGGTCAACCTTCCACATCCCTAATTTGGTGGGGTGGACGATGAATGATTCCGTGGTGGTACAGAAGTGACTGGATTCCTAAACCGCTAATATAGAGAGTTTCTAATATTTTGGGGTATTTTAAAAATATGTGCAGAATACTGAATTTCTGTAAAGAAAACATAATAATGTTTCCTGGCTGTTAATTTGACATTGGTGAAAGAAATTCTCAATGTGAACTCTTTTTAACTAAGTGGGGGAATATACCAAGATATCTTATTGACACCACATATGAACATGACCAGTATTTTAAAGAAACTAAACATGATGTCTGTCTGTCAAGCTGAGGTCTAAATTGTGCTATGAAGTCAGGATCTTTATTGTCAAGTCTCAAAATCAGAGCAGTCTTTAACAGGAAAACGAAGGCCCTGATTTTTAAAGGTGCTTAGGTGTTGCTGCACTCACCATCACAACACCTAACCAATTCAGGAGCCTAAATCACATTTTCAAAAGGGACTAATGCATGCAGCATCTAAACTGCATTGAGTCAATGGGATTTATATTGCTAAGTACTTAAATCCCTTTTGATAAGCTCCTAAATCATGTAAATATGATACTGAGCACACCTAAATACCATTAAAATTGTGCTGAAGTGACTAAATTCTGTCATACTTGAATTTTTATATAAAATATTATAATAATTGCTCTCCAGGAGATAATTATAAATACTTTGTATTTCTCCTTTCCTGTTATATACACAAATATATTGAAAAATGTAAAACCAATTTTGGGGCCACATTGTGATACCCACTTACTCGTGGGTGCTGGCAACTTATTCATTGAATATTTACTGACTTTAGTGGGGTTTCATGTAGAGGAAGGTAATATAAAATATTGTAATCGACCACTTTACAAAAAGGCATCTAACATCTCTCCTACTCCTCCCAGTTTGTCTCCTTAGGTCCTTATGCTGAAAAAATGTATGCACATGCTTAAATGGTCACAGGATGCTGATTCACTAAAGCACTTAAACCTGTACTTAATTTCATGCATATGCTTAACTTCAATTGAAGTAAAAAAAAATCCCACTGAAGTCAGTAGAACTTAAGCACATGCTTAAGTGCTTTGATAGATAACAGGTGAGTAGTGTCATTGACTTTAATGAAGCTATTCAGGGGCTTAACATTAAGCACACTTGCAAGTCCTTGCAGGAGCTGGCTTGTAAGTATGCAAAACACTTATTATCTATTTGGACACTCTATATAGAACTAATAAACCAGTGAATGAATACAATGTTTAGCAAAAAAAGAGCATTAGTTTGAGAATTGCACTTGCCATATTTTATTAACAACAGCAAAGCATGGACATATTGCAGTTTCTCTCCTTTTTTGCTGGTGAAAATTTGCACATATGACTAGCAGCCAGTATAGCCTTCAAAACACACCAATTTATGTTCACTTCCCAGTTTTTAGCTAAATACACTATTTTCCAGCCAACAACATGAAAACTGGGCCCTCTCTAGGAAGTGGACTACTCTTACTTCTTCCATGGTATGTGTTCAGTTGTGCAACACACAGTACAGTGGAGGCTGCACTGAATGTTGGACTGCGGCACAGAATTGTTACAGGCAAGCCATTAGTTGTATCTTGTTTTACTTGGTAGAATTTGAAATGTCTGTGTTTTAAAATGAATACTGAATTAGAGCTTACCCAAAAGGTATTTTGCTGAGGACATAATATGCTGTATACGAATGCCGATAAACCTGCAAAAGAAAACAATATTAGTAATGTAATTTATGTTAATGGGGCTCTTATCAATGCAAAGTCTAGCATTTTTGGCCAGGGAGCTGTTAGGAATACTTTGTACTTTGTTCTGGAAAGGAACAATAAATTAATTCACCTAATGGCAATGTGTTATATTCACCTCACACCTTGTTAAAATGTTTGGCAAACTGTATCCATCCAGATGCTCTGTGTCGTTGCCATGGCTACCAGGTCTTTGATTAAGGTAGGGGCACATGCTCCCAACAATGGCTAAATATAGAGCAATCATTAATGAGGACATCTTGGTCACTTGGAGGCAGGTTACATGGTTACACACAATAAGAATATAATATACTCCCTGTTTTGTTTCTCCTTCAGCAGAGAATAATACTCACTAATGTCAGTGAATGCTGCAACATCCTTTCGAAACCATCAGAGGAAAACTAATTGTCTTTGGGCTCAGTACAAACTTAAGCTCTATTTGACCCTGAGAGATGCTGAATAGCATCTTCAACTCTCATTGACTTTTCTGGGAGGTGAGGGCACTCCACACCATCAAATTAGACCTTTAGAGAAGGGAAAAATTATTACTGATTTATGGACTGATTTTAAGTGAGAACTGATTTGCTGAAGGGATTTTTGATTGCTCAATGGGAGTAATGGGTGCCCAAGACCTGTGAAAGTCAGGCTGCTAATTTTGGTATGTACATATAGATTTAGGTCTCTGACGTTAGGCATCCATGCTTTCAAATTCCGGTCTTTTGCTTAAAGCACATTAAAATGTCAACATTTACCCCCATATACCATCTGATGGCATCTGGAATACAGTGTACTACTGTTATTTCAATTTCTAATTTATCTAGTCTCCAACATGGCTTGTAAAGCACTTGAGCTTTGTCGTATGTTGAGAAAGAGGGAACTCTTGAAAAGTAGCCCATACACAACATTACTGTTTTCTCTCTAAGGCTACATCTACATTGGCAAGATTTTGCACAAATATTTTTAACGCAAGAGATTTGCATTCAAATATTTGCGCAAGAGAGCATCTACACTAGCATGTGCTTTGCGCAAGAGACGTGCTTTTGCGCAAAAGCATCCGTGCCAGTGTAGATGTTCTCTTGCGCAAGAAAGCTCCGATGGCCATTTTAGCCATCGGACTTTCTTACGCAAGAAATTAATGTTACCTGTCTACACTGGCCTCTTGCGCAAGAACACTTGCGCAAGAGGGCTTATTCCTGAGGGCTTATTTGCGGCCGCTTTTGCGTAAAATCTTGCCAATGTAGACACAGCCTAAGAGTTACCTATTATCTTGCACAAAATTTTCGGACTCTTCCCACAGCCCTACAGATAACGGGTGACAGAAGCCTTGACATGACCATCACACAGACTTATTGCTTTGCTTGATTGTGATGACACAGCCAGGGCCATGGAATACAAGATATTGTTATAGAATTGTAGAGAAGCAACCGCAGAAATGAGTTTAAAAACTGACAGCATTACTTAGCTGCTTCCCATCCCTTCCCTTTCTTCTTTACATTGTTCCTTGTTTTGTTCATGCTGTAGACACTGATTAATGGGAGAAAGTCAGATAAGTTAGGGCTAAAGTGTAAGTTTCATTATATCAATGACAAAATAGATCAAACTATAATAATAGAAACGCTTTGTGAAATTTTTAAAAAAGGAAAGCATGAGGGCCAACATCTTGCTTAACCCAGTAGGGATTGAATGGGAGGTCTTCAAAGCTCATAGAAGAATTTGCTACAACATGAGCTAGCCAGACATGGATGGTTTGCACAGACACACCTCCTCTATGGATCAGGCAGAGAAAGGGACATTTAACACACACTGATTCCTGGATTCCTAATGCAGACACTCCTTCCTAGTGATCGCAGCCTTGTGCTAGTACTTGAAAGCTGGTGAATAAAAGAGGAAAGTAGCTGTCAGAGTGTAGGGGGATCTGTCTCCCAAAAGCTGGAGGTATGACATTGGATGAATATCTAATCAGTTACAGGTGACAATCTGCATCTTCTGTCTTCATTCATTCATTCATTCATTCATTCATTCATTCATTCCTTTACAGACACAAACTCCTTGGGGAACAACACAACATCACATCCTGTTAACCTGTGTTAGATTTCTGGGTCTCTGATTTACTTGATAGATAGGTACAATCACTTGTAGCTTAGATAACTACCTCATGGTTACACACCTGAGAAGGCTCAGGAATGCAAATGATTTTGCTGCAGGATGGCATTTATTTATGCTCAACAGGAACCCTCTACTCATCTGAGATGATGTCCTCCAGCCCTTAATTTCATTAAATTTGAAGAGGACTCCTCAAAGGTCATAGAGTTTAAACTTAGAGAGCTGCAATGTGAGTCTGAAGATAACATAGTCCCCTAGGTTTTATTTCAGTGTTACTGAAGAAGATATAAACCTGTTATGATTCCCCAAAGGGAAAGACTGAGAACAACACATCCCAAATAAAAAGGAGAAACATTGCATGGAGCCATGCAGTAAAATCCTGGCACAGCTGGGCTAGAAAGCTTTTCTGAAATGTCCGATAAGATTTTTCATGTGAAGTCCGACCAAAGAGTCCTCAAAATAATTCCCTTTATACCTGTGTTTAACACTATGGGTGTGTCTAGACTACATGCCTCCTTCGACGGAGGCATGTAGATTAGCGAGATCGGAAGAGGGAAATGAAGCCGCGATTAAAATAATCGCGGCTTCATTTAAATTTAAATGGCTGCCCCGATCTGCCGATCAGCTGTTTGTCGGCAGATCGGGGGAGTCTGGACGCGATGCCCCGACAAAGAAGCCTTTCTTCATCGACACAGGTAAGCCTGGTTTCACGAGGCTTACCTGTGTCGATGAAGAAAGGCTTCTTTGTCGGGGCATCGCGTCCAGACTCCCCC